GGCGCTTCTGTTGGTTTTTGCTCATTCCCCCCGTGGCAGAGGAATCGTCCGAAACATCATCGGAGGAGGAAACATAGTCCCGATCGCGCAGGATGTTGCTGAAGATGCTGCGACGCGGGGAGAGGGACACGGAGGGGCTACTGTGGCCATCCTCCGAAGTGGACGTTCTGGAAGTTTTAATCTTCGAAAGAGCACGTTTGATTGACATGGTGAGGGGTGGTTCTCCCAAGTGGGAGGAGTGGAGGGGTTAGTATTAGTGTTATGGATGTGATGATGGGAAGAGGAAGTAAGACGAAGAGGAGGAGGGGAAGAGTAAGAGAGGGAAGATAAGGGTACTTAATTTATTAGACTAGAGAATTAAGCAGAAGGAGGGGCTGGGCAAACAAGAGAGGAGGGGGAGGAGGATGCAGTGAGCGTTTTAATACGAAGAGGGAAGAAATCGGGCCCAACCAGGGTCCAGATGCTTACTAGGTTTATTAATTCTCAAGTAGGTTCAATTCGAAGGGAACCACGGGTGGAGCAGGATTCAAGCAAACAAGCAAGAAAGCTATACGTAGTAGCAGAAAGAAAATAAGCAAAAGACAAGAAAAAAAAAAGGAGGGAGCACAAGCCACGAATGGAAGATCAGTGTTTCAACAAGGTTGACTGTGTTGCGTGGGAAGGAAAAGTTGCTGGAAACCGCATAGACCGAGGCCGGCGGCAAGCCATGATGTCATGTGAGAATGATGAAAGAGTGTTGTCGGAACGGCGATTTCTTTCCTTTTTCTCTCTCATTCTCTAGTCTTTCAGCCCTAAGCAACAACCACTCCCCTTGTCAAAACCGGAATCTTGAGGAACTATGATGTGATCCAAGACTTTGGGTTGGGCCTTTGGCTTCGTCTTCGTCGCATTACTTCACTCCTTGAATGCTTGTCTATCAATCAATCTACGGATACTCCGTATACTACTTACTGTAAAGTACTATTATTATTGTACAGTACTGTACTTCCCCGCTGCCATTCCTGCATTAGACGCCCCATGCTTGGCATCAACTGATCACCATTCCATCCTTCCCATCTCACCTCATCCTCCATTCTCTTTATCCCTCTCTCTCCGTCACACTCTACCTCTCATCCAGTTTCTAGCTGGGGATATACTGCCCGGATCCATTCTCTTCCCCATAACCATAACATAACCTTATTCTTCCCGTGCATGCTTGAATCGTCACCTGCCCAATCAATCATGGCTCACTCGTCCCGCTGGTGGTTGTATGTCCAGGCCACCTTCTGGCGGTTCCTTATGCGCATTGGCATGTTTATCCACGATGTCCTACCCCCACGTCCCTCTCGACCAACTTTTCGCCGTTCCTTTCCCTCCTCTGAATCCGACTCGCATTCCGCGCGGATCCATCTCCATTTCTACTGCCCAAAGGACTACCAGGTCGCTAAAAAAGAAGGCCGCCGGCTTCCGGTTGTCGTCAACTTCCACGGCGGCGGGTTCACCCTCGGCCACGCCACCGACGACAGCCGCTGGGCGCAATGCATCTTGTCGGAAGTCGGCGCCGTCGTTGTGAGCGTGGGCTATCGCCGAGCCCCCGAACATCCGTTTCCCGCGGCCGTGGATGACGGGGTGCGCGCACTGCAGTATCTCGCCGCCCACGCCACGGAGCTGAGTCTAGATGTCTCCCGGATCGCCCTCAGCGGCTTCTCGGCTGGCGGCAATTTAGCGGTGACCGTTCCGCTCCGTCTCCGGGGCCTGCTGAGCCAACAGAACTCCAACAACTCCACGTTGTCGCATGTGATCCACACCGACTCCTCCCAACATCTCGTCCAATCCCCTTCCAATGAGCTCAACATCGTCGCCCTCTTCTGCTGGTATCCCATCCTCGACTTCGAGGAGTCCCGCGATCACCGCCGCGCCATGAGCCTCATGCCCAGCAAGACCCTCCCCGCCTTCTTCACCGATCTCTTCGATGAATCCTACCTCCCCGACCACGCCGACCGCCGCTCGCCCTACGCCTCGCCCGTGCGCGCCTCGGACGAGATCCTCGGCGACGCGTTGCCGCACGACATCTTCCTCTACATCTGCGAGTGGGACATGCTGCTCAAGGAGGGTCAGGTGTTCGTGCGCCGCCTGCAGAAGATCCAGAAGCACGTGCGCGCCATGATGATTGAGAAGGTTCAGCACGGATGGGACAAGTCGCCCAATCCATTCCGGGATCAGGTCCGAGTGGATATCCTCTATCAGGAGGCTTGTGCCGCCATGAAGCGTATATTTGAATCGTAAGAAACAAAAGAAGAGTAGAGCAACCCAAAAGAAAATGGGCTGTATCCGTATACTTACACGCATGCGCATACACAACAGCTGAGTGCAAGACCGACTTTTTGTTTTCTTTTTGAGCGATGAGCGGGTTTATCTATTCCTGAAGCGGTTTATTCTTCTTGGTGGGGAGCATCTGTGATTTGCGATGGTTGGAACCGGCGTCATTACTTCGTGGGCATTGTTATGTGTATATATGTATGCTCGCTGCTTTTTACATCCTTGTATTGCTGCGATGCAGTGTACAGGCATGATCTACAGGTTTCTTGCATATGAATGATCTCGCCATGGGTAATTTTAGAACGGGCGGAAAATAGTCCCGTACCTCGGATATATATACTCCTGTTTGCCCGCCTGCTGATTACCACAACATAGCTGTACTAGAACCGGTCTACCTCCCCCCTCCTATACAAGGGCAACCCAGAAGACTCGATATTCTCGAACCTCTTTATCCATAATCATGTCGAGTGCAACCAAAACTGGGGTGATCCGAAGCTTAGCGCGGGCCCTGGGAACTTCATCGACCTCAAGTGCCTGGTTGTAGGCATATGAGCACTCAGTAGGGCAGCAGACCTGCCTACCTCCAATTGGGGTGTTGCTGCGATAGTTGAAATTTTTTGGGGCGGGGTCGGAGGGGTAGTGGCACAGTGAAGGGGTATCACTCATTAGCTGCCTTGCTCAACTCTTTTACCTCCTGCCTTCCTTCCTGCCTCCCCTGTCTCTTCCTCTTGCCATCGGTGTCAAGCGTCAATGCTTTTGCCTTTCGTCCAGATCCGGTTTCGGCAATTGCCCCCTCCATCTGTTTATCTCTCTCGCGCGATATCCGAAACCCCTCGAGATCAAGAGCAGAACGACAACTACATCTCATAGTGTAGAGGTGTGGTGAAATGACAGAAGTCATGAGCCACCATATCCTCTTGTCATGTCATCAAAGATCTCATTTCCGATCTCTTCACGTCCGGAAGCTTTCAACCTGGAGATATTAACTTTATGCTATCGTATACGTTCACATCGGCAGACAATGGCCATGCTCTAAGAATTCTGACTGACAGGAACATCTACCTCGTGGAGAGACAACGCTCGGGACAGTCTCGATCTCCAAGAGGAAGGGGAATAAGAAGGCTTTATGCCTCAAGTCCACCCCAAGCTTGCAGTCCGCTTGTTCTCTGACATTCAGAGTCACGCCACACGTCAACACGACACTCAATAGACCGAGCCAAACGTTCGCTGTTCTATCTCTATCGTCAATTCCCACCTCGAACTCTACGCTGACTATATATCACCTCATGATAAGGCTGTTCGCCGCCCATCACTCAGCCTAGAACCTTTTCCGCTGAGAAGGGTGAGACAGAACATAACGAGGGAAGAAGGACAATTGAGCGAACAACAATTCCACTCATGTCCAACCGCCCTATTCAACCCGAGGACTCATTAAGTTCGATGAAAGCAGCTGCGCAAGGCCAACTAGGAGATCCAGTCTGGCACGGTTGGCTACTACCTCGGTCTCCATCAGCTGTTCATGATGAGGAACGGATTCGTGGAAACTATAGAGCTTATGATCGACAGCACAACTGCCAGATATCTAATACGTATGAGGAACCAACCAATTCTGTTTCGAGGGTTGGTTCTGAGATAAATATCCTGGGATTCGTGCACAAGACAGACCTCTTTAAGAAGCTTACGGCGTATTTTCCGCGGCTACAACTCACAAGGCATGGCTCTTCACTCCGCACAGTACCCAGAGACAATCTTAAATCGCCCCTTCGAAGACTTGTTTGCTTATGAAGTGCCATTGATCAACCTCGCCTCATCAACACTGCTTGACAACCATCCAGCACTCGCTCCAACACACCTGCTGATCACCAATCAGTCATTGTGGGAGACCGAAGGGCTCATCGTTGATGGACCGAGGCTTATCTCTATGGTGTAGCTGGGCTCGTGGTCTGTACCTGGATCATGGTTCATTATGTCCACAAAACCATTCTCTACTCGATTACCGCGTGCTTGTGTTCCTAGTTATTGGACGCATATAGAACGTGCATATGCTATCGTCGTGCCATTGTGTGTTAGGTAGGTTCGATACGTGGTGGGGACTTGCTATATGTTGATACTAACCTTGTCTCGTGGGAAGCGATCAAATCCAAGGCGAGTTGACATACTTTGCATTCGCCTAGTCGAGACAACCGAGCGGAAGTATAGATCGCAGAATATATCCGCGGCAGGGCTACCAGGGTACGTATCGTAGATTAGTCTCGCGCATCGAGCTCATGGATATTCCACAAACATCTCGCCTAACTGCGAGATAGATGCAGTAGAAGAGGGGGAAAAAAATTAAAAAATAAAAAACCTTACATCAAATCATCAAGTGCTCCACGGGACATTGGCCTCAAGAAGGCAGTTCGGCAAAAAAAGAGAAAAAGAAAAAGGATAACCTCGCCCGATACGAGGCTCGAACTCGTAACCTTGAGATCACTATTATGACTCCCAAACGGGAGAGGTCATAAAAGTCTCACGCGCTGACCAATTGTGCCAACCGGGCCCGGTTGGAGAAAACGCCGCTCAACAGAGAATATATGGTAGACCCAGCGCGGGGTGGCAAAAGAACACGAAGCCCAACGGGTCAAAAAGGAACTTGCGCCCCGTGTGAGGCTCGAACTCACAACCTTGAGATTAAAAGTCTCACGCGCTGACCAATTGTGCCAACGGGGCGTTGGTTGAAAGACATACCAAGTACTAGGCAATATATCATACAAACATGGCTGGTGGTGATTCGAACTGGCGCATCTATGCACTCACGGCGCCTTGGAGAATCGAATACCCTTGCACCAGACCTCTTTCCTTCCTGCCCCTCTCTCTTCTATTATACTTACTTATCTCCTACTTCTTCTTGCGATTTACTAAAAGCATGATAATGCCAATATTTTGAAAAGGACAGACACGCTGCACAGTATCACCAATATACGGTAGGCAGCACTGCAGCCCGGCCGACCAGACCCCCTTTCGCCAGACACATTAGTCACCCATTCCGGGCCCAGCCGAAAGAAATTCGCATAGAACCTCGCTACATCGAATCTGATATGGACATAAGGAGGAGGGGTATCAACTTGGGGCGGAACGATAGGTGGCCGATTATGATATAAGAATACCCACAAGAGGCTATCAAATGATGGCAACTCGTTTAATTTTCCATACAGCAGCAGTACGAACACAATTATTCAAGCGGGCATTTCTGTTCTATGCTTCCCACCCATTCCAACTCGATTCCTTCGGTAGAGCATGCTTGTTTTCTTTCTTTCTTTTTTTCTTTCTTTTTTCTTTTCTTTCCCGTCACTGTTACATCAAGAAATCTCCAACCGGGAGGTGCCTACGTATCCGCGAATATCTACAAGAACATATCCTGTAGTGCGTACAAGCAAGGAAAAAGCAAAGCAAAAAGAAAAAGCGCCCGATGCGAGGGTCGAACTCGCAACCTTCCGATTAAAAGTCGGACGCTCTGACCATTGAGCTAACCGGGCAATTTGTAATCAGTTTTCACAAAAAGACCTATACAGCCTGGGTCAAGGTCGCCAGAGCGCTATCCTGCAGGCGAGCCGATATCCAACGTTTCTGCAGCGACAAGATAAGACCTGAAGAACAATTGGGGAAAGACGTCTGGTAGATTTGGAAAATATCATCCAATTGGCTATGTAGATGAATTTTTTAATACCAAAATCATTCTCACATCATATATTCGGCTTCATCACGCCCACCCAAAACAGAACAGAAAATCGACAAAGCACATAGCCGATATGGTCAGGCAGCCCCATACATCAAATGAAATCAGTTCGAGACAACAGCTGGCTAGAACGGAAGAGTGAAAGAAAAGGACAACCAAAATGGAAACGAACAGATCTAAGAGAGAAAAAGGGTATTGGGCTCGCCAAGCACAAGAAACACAGAATCAGCGCTTTTGCTTTTCTTCGGTCCTTCACCAGAAAACACTTTTGTTCATCCATTACATGTCGTCATCAGTCTCGGTCCCAATGCTCAAGTCGTCGTCGGACACATCCTCATCGTCATCTGCCTCACTGTCGTCCTCGTCATCCTCGTCATTATCCAACCCCGGAATACCCCGCCACTCGACGTAGTCACCCTCCAGCCAGCGGCGACTGCGAGGGAGTTGGTATGGATCGAAGGGGAAGTAAGAGTCCGCTTGATAACCGATGTCATCTCCTGCGCGGATCTCACGCTCCACTTGGTGGAAGCGCGGGTCCGCCAATGCAGACAAACTGCGATAGGTCGAAATCCGAACGCGCTTGTTTGTCTCCAGAATGCTGTACACATACATTAGATTGAAGTGTTGAGACATCCGGGCGAACTGTGTCACGATTGCCGGCGAGCACACTTTGAGCGGGTTGAGCTTTGAGTAGATGGTTTGACGAAGCACCTCCTTGACCGAGGGCGGGAATAGGATGTCTTCCGGTTCCAGTTCTTCAACTTGCTCTGGCGTGTCGCCTTCAACTGCCGCCGTGGTCAGGTCCCGCCAGCGGAAACAGAAAATATAGAGCAATGCCTGGGATATCGAGTAGAAGAGGCCGTATCGTCGGGGGTCGGGTCCCCGGCACGTGTCCTCGAATTCGTTACGGAAGCTGGTCAATTCCGCACCCAGCAGGTCGAACACATCTCGCGCCATCTCGCCAGAGATATGGGCGCCACGCGCGACAAGACTAGCCAGATAGGCGACAGCTGATTGCCGCAAGATGGCCGGTTGCCTCCGGTTGGTCATAGTGTGAATACAGGTGGAAGCGAAGCGTTCCGCGAGTTCGGGAGATGTTTGGGAATAGTGGAACAGGAGGAACTGAGTGTGGCGGGAGCGGTGGTTGGGAAGAATAATGGTTTGAAAGTGGCTCAACAAGAGCTCGAGGGCGTTCTCCTTATCCTGAAGGGAGCCGGATGCGAACGCCGGTGCGTAGTATTCGAATAACAAATCGATCATGCCGTCCAGCTTAAGGATGTTGTCGCGAACGGTCTTGATACGCTGAGAGTCGTCGTCTACAGACTCATCGCTCAGGACGGAAGCGTCGTCATCGTCCTCGTCCTCGTCCTCGTCGGCCATGATAGCCTCTGGCGAGACGCCGCGCAAAACGTCTTCGCCTATTTCGTCCTCGATTTCTTCCATATCAACCTGGATCTGAACGTCAATCTTGACGACTTTCTCTGTGATCAGAGCTAGAATGTCTGCTTGCAGCTCCGGTGTATAGCTGCTGATCTTGAGCAAGTTGCTCGTGTAGGCAATATTGGCCTTGGCAGAATCCGTATCGAAGGGGAAATGCACGGACAAGATTGGAGATAGCGATCCACTGCCAGACGGGATTAACTGCATGACATAGCGTAGGGCCATATGGACTCGCATGTAGATCTCCGACGCTGGCACGGGGACGTAACCCGGCACCTTGCCAGTGTCCTTGGGAAGCTCGCCCATGTAATTAACCAGCATCTTGAGCACTGGTCCCAGATAAATGCCCTGGGCGGCAGCAAGATTACCAAGGAAGCGTATATACAGCTTGATATAGGACTCGTCGCGGCCGAGCCACACACTATTCAGCACAGCCTGGACTAGCCCGTTGCAACTGCGATCTAGCGCAGCAACATTTGACGAAAGACCCATCAGATGATATCTCAAGGATGTGGGTGTAGGTACATCAGATAGAAGAATGTGGTCCTCATCCGGGCGCCGAGGGTCCACCGAGAAGAGCTCCTTGATCCGGTCATACGCCTCACTGTCGGTGCCAGAAACATGCCGTTGGATGGCCCGGCGCACCTCCTCTCGGACCACCGAGGCACTCTTTTCTGGTTTCAACTCCCGCCCAGGCGCCCTCTCATAGTATGGAAGTTCGCGCATCTCCACCTCCGGTTCAAACTTGACCCTAGCTCGCTTGCGAGGACTGGGGTTAAATTCGGTCTCGGAGGTCAGCGACGAAGAGGGTGACAGAGAGAGATCGTCGTCTTCCATCCTGCGCTTTATGCCGATCACTGAGTTCTCTCGTTTGGGTGTTTTCAGAATGGGCACGGGGGACGCTTTGGCTAGCATCTTAGAAGGATTGGTCAACGGCCTGCGCGAGGCGGTGGCAATGGATCCGACCATGACCGAGCTGATATTTCTATGGAAGGATGAACGCAAGGGTATTGGAGCAGTAACCGGATTCCATTCAGGACGAATGAAAGAAGGGTTCAGCGTGGGGGAGATGACAGACGAGAGCTGTCGACAGGTCAGACGGTGGATGGTAAACGCGATGCACACGACACGGCTGAGGCAAGTCGCTCAGTGAGCCTCGGACGTTGCTACAGGGGATGGACACAGTAAATGATCAAGGAAATAAGCACCTTGATCTATCCATTAAAAGACACACACAGCGCCAGGACAAGGGGACAACGTGGGAGACGGGCGCAGGTAGACTTCAACAGAGGGGAGAACGGCTGGCAGAGGAGAGGTAAGATAGGAATTTGAACGCAAGGCGGAGAAGACGTAGAAGAAACACAGCATGAAATTTTTTGGGTGTGGGGCGGGTGTGGAGCCTGAGGCCGCTACCCCGTGACTAGCGCGTGACCCTCGCGCCTGAGGCCTTGCCTACTTGGGACTTTGGGGCATGTGTATGTTTCCGGTTGGAATCTGTCTCTTCGCTCCACTTTCGGCCTCAACCTGATCTACATCTCGACGCTTTCTGCACATAATATGAGAACTTATTGCATTGGGAAAGGCAAGTATTCACTAGCAAAAAGCAAACCACTATTGCCGGAAATAAGCAAAGATAGAAACCATGGTCACATTCAGTGACTAGCACAGATTAACATCTCTATCAGACAGATATGTAATGTTTTCACATAACAGCCACAATACACAACAGACCAAGGAGAAACAAACATGGGACACAGACAATCACAATCCTCCCGTGGTATATAGCGGATGAAGGTTCAAAATGGCAAATATAGGACAAGACATTAAAAGAGTGAATACGAGTGGGTCATGACACAGGCTAGCACCTGATTAAAAGAAAGGGATAATCCAGTACCCAGAAGAAAAATGCCATCTCACTGGACAGTGGCCATCGGGAAACGTGAAGGAATGGAAAGGAGCGCCAGCTGCTTAGAGCCAGGTGCCAGAGGCAATTGGTCCTAGCCGATCATCGAACACGCTCCCATAGAAGTCTTCAATCTCAACCAGATACTCATCAACAGTGAACTTCCTCAACCCTTTGTCTCGCAATATCAGTTCTTCCTCATCGAGCACGCGCGTACCACCGAACTCCTCGACGACCTCGTTCACCTGCTCAAGTTCTTTGCTGAAAGGGTGAGGTTCCATGTGATAAGCCTCAGAACCTTGACGAACAGCGGAGGTGCTGCGTGTCGAGTTCAAGGGAGGAGGTGACAGTCGAGACACAGATCGTTTGCGGGCTAGCTCTTGATGCGAGCGCTTCGTGTGAGACAGGGCGCGCTTGGGTACTAAGGGTGCCTCCGCTGAAGACGCAGTGGATGTTGAGGAACGAGGGGTAGTGTGGCTGCTAACAGTCGCTGAGCGCTTGGGAAAGTAAGTGGGTAGAGGGGCGGGATCGGCATCAACGGGGGATTCGCCCGGCGTTGTGACAGGCGATCCAAAGCTTCGCTGTGTAAAGGAGACATCTGAATCATCGGGCCACTGAATTGAAGATGTTGAAGAGGAGGACGCAGAATGAAGGTCCGGAGCATTGTAGGCCAGCATGTTTGTGGTCGACAATAACTCAACGGGCGCAGAGATCTTTCCTCGGTTTATAGTGCCTGCACTGAACTTAGAATGTCCCTCACGGTAAGGCATCGGCGCGGAAACCTCAGGGCGCTTGCTGCGCTTCGTAAAGGCCCTGGTGAGAGTCGACATGGTGGTGGTACTCGGGATCTATACGAACGACAGACGGATGATCAATCGGTGCTGATAAGGGCCGATCTGTTCGACTGGATCAGTCGGCCTATTTGTTTGTGTGTCGTTCGCTTCTTCTGGTAAGAAGATATGGATTTTGCCGTGGACGTTGTCTCCTATTTTTAGACGCTTCTCTTCAAATACTCAATTCGTTTGCAAAAGTGCCAGTCGCCTTGCGTGGAATAGACCGAGAATGTGTAGTGGATGATCGCGGGGTGGCGGAGACCAAGAAGGAATGGAAGATCGATTGCCGGAATGTCCGTTATCAGATACGACTGAAGCGCTCTTGAGATTCCGAAAGAGATCGAATCAGTAGACGTTTCCTATCGAAAGGTTTTGTCTATTTCTTCCAGAATAATTCGTGCACAGCAGAAAGGAAGAAAACAGTTGGTCGGAAGGCAGGATATTCGGAAAGGATGGACTGCACGAGTCAAGGGGGAGCCGACGACTTCAACGCAGCAGCAGCACCGAGATGTGAGAAGGTCCGGGC